TCTTGGTGGCATAGTCGACCCTACGAGCTTATTAGAAAAAGGTTTGGACCTCTATTTTCTAGTTTAGGACTAGCTGATTCTCAATCAAAATACAAATTGTATGTACCTTTACTTCTCTTTCAAGCACTCAACTTATATTATCACAAAATGGTCCAATGCAATTCATCACATGCTTAACAAAACAATGTAATGTAACATTTAATTCAAAATAAACTTAATAGTTTTATATAATAGACAACCAGATTGTCTAACTCATACAATGTGTATTAGTTTGAGTGAAGTCATTATCTCCGTGTTTCTATATTTTCTCGTTCTGTCTGTATTTGTTAAGAAATAAATTTCACGAAGTATAAGGGTTATTGGCACAAAACCTCCCTCGCCTTTGTCCCTATTGTGTAATACCCCCATATCCTTTTAGATTGGGAAAAAACCTTGTATATGACCTTTGAGGTGCGGAAGATCCCCTATCGTCCATCCCCGTTGATGATGTTGTTAAGTTCACTTAAGATTGGTGTAAAATTCTCTCAATCTTTGGTGCAAAATACCCTCAATGTTTTCAGATTGACAAAAATCCCTTAGATGACCTTCTAAGTGCAGAATACAATATTTTCTTCTATTTTATCAATAAAATCTTGTGAAATGACGAACATACTCTCATCTTTGAACAAAAAATAAAATAAAAAGAAATAATTAAATAATTAGTTATAATAATAGTCCCATTTTTCTTTTTCTTTTTTTAAAAAGTAAAATTGAGTTCCAAATAAATAATAAAAATTTTTAAATTAGAAAAAAAATGCCCTTCTATCTCACCTTTCTCCTACCCCCACCACCACCATCAAAATACACAATCATTAACCATTAAATTTCCTATAAATCCATCAACATGAGAAGAGCTTCATCAAGACTACTCTCTCACCTCTGCCCACTATCCATCAAAACCTCTTCTTATATCATTTTTAAAGACACCACCAACCACCCACCAAACTGCTATTTTTTTTTTAATGATTGAAGCAAATGAAATGTCATTAATTAATTTTGTGAAAAAAAAAAAATGAAGCTAGGGCATATTTCAAGAATTGGGGTTTTCAGGGATTTTGGGAAAGAACTGAAATGGTGTTAAAATGGAAAAGTGGATAAATTTATGAATTGAATTTTCATATTCTGAGTACAAAAAATGGGTGTAACGAATTCAAATGCTGAGAGAAGTGATTCTCTGAGGTTATGCAAATAATAATAATAATAATAATAATAATAATAATAATAATAATAATAAAAGATTCATTGAACAAACCATCGATTCAAGATGTGCTTTGGCAGCTACACTCATTTCATATGTTCAATTTCTGAGAAACTTGAGGCATTGCTCTTAGGAAATATGCTAAGACTACGGTTTTAATAGAGCCATCTCTATCAATTTCCACCATTGATCTTGAAAAAGCTTCTTCACATTCAACATAGACGTTGCCTTCACCATTGCGTGTTGGTAATGTTTGAGTACTACAGTCGTCAATGGGAGCCCACTTTCATGGTATATGGGTAATATGGCTCGAGTCAGTCACATAAGATCGTAGGGGATAACACTTCGATTGTTAGTGTGAGTCCACCGTATAGGAATATGCATGTAGAAGATGGCGATTTACAATGCCACCACATCCACCACCATGTTCGGATGAGGGTATGTTAAGAGATAAACCGCACATTGATTAAATATAATAATATTAACCAACATTTGAGAATTTGAAATATTTCTCTTAAGAGGGTTAATCTTTTAAAAAGAACTCGTAAAAATGGAAACACTCCACGTTAGGGCTGTAAGGCTGTAAGCAAAAATCGTCAAATCTAAAAATTGAATCGAAATCGCAATTTCGAAACCGGCGGTTTGGTGCTACGTGAACCCGTCAATGAAATGATTTTGAACAAAACCAAACCGGTCAAAAACGGTTTGATTTAGGTTTGAGAATTTTAATTACGGTTTAAAACCAAACCGGATCGGCGAAAAAATATAAAAAATAAAAAATAAAAAATTGATTTTTTTTGAAAATTTATCCAAAATTTCAATTCTATAAATTCAATAATTTTGTCATTTTGTTAGTATTTTTATCAATTTCTAATTTTCTATTAGTTATTACGATTTACGACCCGCCCAAATCCCAACCAGACCTGCTATCCTAATTTAAAAAAAAAAAAAACGAACTCAAACTCTCACAAATACAACCCTAATCCCTAACCTTCAATTTCTCTCTCTTTCGTTTCTGAATTTTCCTCAAATCGTAGGTAGTCTACGGTCAGAATTTTCAATTGCCAGTGATGGTCGCTGGTAGTCTATGGTCAGTCACAACTGATAGCCTTCAATTTCATTGCAAGACTGCGTGATTTTTTGTGACCTATGGGTTAGTTCTGTGATTTTTTTTTATTTTTTATTTTTTGTGATTTTAGTTATATAGTTGCGTTTTCTTGATTCTTGAACATGGAAACCATCTAAGTTATTGCTAAACATAGTTTGTCATCTCGATTCTTAAAAATCCTCAAATTCGTGATTTTTTGTGACCTGTAGATTATTTCTCTTTTCGAAATTCTGTGATTTTAGTTATATAGCTGCGTGTTCTTAATTTTTGAACATGGAAACCGTCTAAGTTGTCTTTGGAATTATATGACTGTGATTTTAGTTTATTGTGATTTTACTTTGATTTTGTTGGTATTTAAATTTATAGTAGATATATTTAGTTTATTTTAGATTTATTGCCAATAAGATATAAATATATATTGAATTAATGGCAAAAAAGTAGACACTAGACATGCAAAAAAATATACACGAAATCGACGGTTTAAAACCGGACCAAACCGTTAGGTTTAAGTTTGAATTTTTTTAAAACTGGTCAAAACGATTTGGTTTAGGTTTGAGTTTTTCTCAAATTGGTTGAAACGGTTTAGTTTGAAAATTTGTAAAAAAATCGGTAAAATCGAACCGCTTACATCCCTACTCCACGTGTAATTTTATACATCAATGGATGAACATTTTATTTCGTTAGGTCTAATCTAATATATCAAATATTTCCTATTTTATGCTGGGGTTTCCAATTCCAATAAGGTCAATAAAAAATAGTTTCTGCATGGAGGTCATCCTTGACCGTTAAAAGATCCAAAATACAGAACCCATATAGGGGAAGAATAACATGAGAGGGAGATGACAGAAAAGCAGTAGGCGGTTGTGATGGGTGGTGGTGGAGGTGGAGGTGGGGTTAGGGCTGTGGGTGTCAACATTTGTAGTGAAAGGGACGGGTGGGGTTTCAGTCAAAGAAACATGGCCTCCAATGAGAAATAAAGTAAGGACATTACAGCTTCAAATAATTGTCCTATCCCTATGCCTAGTTTTTAACTCATCTGGCTCTCTCTGGGCATCTTTCAACTACATATTTTAGGACTTTTACCATGTGTCGAACACTTCCAAATTAATATACTGTATGTGTGACCACAGAATTTTTTGAGCTTATCAACCTCATAAATTTTAGAAAAATTTAAAAACTACATTCATATGATAATTGAATTAATAATAAGGAAAAAAATTAGCTCACAATTTTTGTTACACGAATCTTGATATGGTGAATAATAAATTACAGCAAGATAATTGAATTTAGAGTTCAAAGTAGTAAAAACAAAAAAAAAAGGCGTAATTCGGGATTTTAGATAAAAGATTATACATGTTTGAAGTTAGACTGTCGAGCAAATTCGAGATTTGATTTGATAACTCATGAGATGTCTCTAAAATTTGATATATGTCCAACAAAAAATTGGCATTGCACCCATTAAACTAGCGATTATTTACAACACCCAGTTTTAAATTCTCTTTGAAAGAAATGTAAGTTAGGATTTATAAGTCGTTGGATTTGATTTGGGGCATGAAGTTTGGGCTTAAATGAAAGAAAAAAACGTTATTTAATGTTGAATGATTTGTGTTAGAGGGGCGATTTTATTTATGAGGCAATTTCATTAACTTGTGTTTGCCACATTGGATTTTAATGTTTCTACTTAGACCTTTTACATTGACATTGCTAACAGAATGATAATGTGTAAGCGTTTCAAACTTTAGTGACTGTTCCTAAGAATTAACTTTAATGATCATTTTTAAATTATTTTGAAATTTTGAGTGATCGTTGCTAGAATTAACCCTATTTTTAATTTCTAAAGAGTTTCGTGTTTAGTACAAGTTTGGTTAGTAATTACATCATAATCACTTTTGGTTGAGTATACTTTTTATCTACATATTCGTAGAAACTCATTATTCACATAGTCCACAATACCCTAAGTTAAAATAACTAGAACTATTACTATACATGAAGTGAGGTTTACCTAGTACGCACTCATAGTGGTCGGGCATCCGTCTCTTGGGGGTGGTCGGACCTCCACTGACGAGTAGCGGCTTCGGGTTCTTACGTCAAAAAAAAAAAAACTAGAACTATAATTTATCACCAACCAAACATGATTGCATTTCTCACTTCCATTTTGATATTACTTAGAATCTATGAGAATAACATCCGAGAAAAAAGAAAAGAGAAGAAAATGCACACAATGAATCATTCTTTTTCCTCTACTTCTACCATGGTGGCTCAAAAACCCTCAGTTGCTCCCACGTGAGTTCCACGACATACATGTCTCTGTATTTCTATCCTTTCGCAGTCTCTCTGCCAGCCTTGAAAATAGTTGATGAAGACAGAAGGCAAAGAATAGCATTAGATTGTACATATATAGGCATCACTTTCTTGTTTATGGTCCTCCTTTGCCCCATCCTGTCACCATCAGTACTGCATCATCTCCTCTTAGATCTTCATATATGGTGGGGTGAGGGCGGTTTAGCCCCAGCTCAAACTGGTAAACTTCTCTCTCTATAAATTTTTTCTGTAGTTGCACTCTTTATTATGTTCAGTTTCTGTACATAATTTTTCAAGTTAGATCATAACACGAGCTCTTGAAAAAGGTTAGAGACAAAATCTGGTGCATTAGAAATGTATCCTTCTAGCAACATTTATGACCCTTTTGAGTCCTTGTTCAGTAGGTCTTTTCCAGTCGATCAAAACCCTACCCCAAAACAAGATGACCCTTCACCTTTCTTTCACTTTCCTTCACCATTTCTTGATGAAACTGAGTTTCCATTGAATCAAATATTGTCCCAAAATCAGCCCATGGCAGTGCATAATTGCATAGCCCGTGATTACCAGATAGAAACCTATGTTGATACTACAAACAAGGAAACAATAAAAGGCAGGAATATTGATCTCTCCAGATTGAATGAAAAATCGGTTGAATCAACTCCAAATGAATCAGTTATACCATTGAGGAAGAGAAACCTCGGTCCAATGCTGCTAAAGAGAACCGGGAAGAAGGATAGGCACAGCAAGATTTGTACAGCACAGGGAGTGAGAGACCGGAGAATGAGATTATCGCTTCAAGTTGCGCGGAAATTCTTTGATCTTCAAGACTTGTTAGGCTATGATAAAGCAAGCAAAACCATTGAATGGCTTTTTACAAAATCGAAGAAGGCGATTAAGGAGCTGAGCAAAAACAATCCAAAAGTAAAGATCAGTTCTACCACTGATGATTTAAATAGTGAATCCGTTGTGTTTGAACGTGACATCGTAGCAGTAATGGAGGAGAATTCAATCAGTGCACACAAAGGAGTTGCAAGAGAATATGCAAGTATAGAAAGGAAGAAAAATGACAAGAAATCGCGAAAATCTGAGTATAAACCTAATACAAGAGAGTCCCGGGACAAGGCAAGAGCAAGGGCAAGGGATAGAACAAGAGATAAAATGATAATCAAAGGCCTGGAAGATTCTAATCAGTGGATTGAGTCAAACCCTAATGATTTTCAACAATTAGGGCCTTCCAATAGTTCCTTTGAAGCTGTAGAAGAATCAAGTTCTCATAATCAGAAGCAAGGTGCTCATACTAACTCACTGGAAAATCAATTCTCTGATGTGGGAATAATTGAGAAATTCCTGGGAAATTCAAGCTCAAATTCTTGGCCTGTCTCTGATTATTCCGATAACGATTTCTTGGGATTTCTTGGAAATTGGGACATGAATAATGATAGAATCAACTCAGAAATGACAAACATTGTTTCCTTTGCAGGTAACCCCAATTCTGTTTATTTAGCCACCTCTGATTTTCCATTCCAGCAATAAGTACATATTAGGAGACTATCCTGCATGTGTAAAAGACTTGGTTATTGAATATATGGTGTGTTTAATTCTTTGGAATTAGTGAACTTAGAAATTTATAAATCTTATTGTCTGGTGTAACTTTCTTGGATAGTTTATAGAATTTGTAGTTATTCTTGAGAAAAGGGGGATAGAATCCCCATGAGATCTAGGAATCTTCCTGTCTGAATTATTTTATTTACATTTTTTCTCTTCAAAACAAATATAATTGCAGAGGTTTAAAATGCAGCAGATACGTAAATGAAACGTTGCAGATAATAGAGCAATATTACACATCCTTTGCAAACTTCAATACTCATACCTCCATGCACTCAAGACAGGCTGCACATTAATAAGACAAGAAACTTGAACAATTTAATAAATGGTGTGATCATTATTATGGTAATGTTATCGTTTCTTCACATTATATGTTGTCTAGGAGATTGAACTGCACCAGACAATATTTCTATATACAGGAGATACTCTGATGATTAATTCTTTGATACATTTAAGTGTTAGAAATTAATCATTCTTTGCTGGATGAAATTATTGGTTACCCCTGAAGCAGTTAATTTCTCGATGTAATTATTTGCTTGAGAGAGTCATGCTACTCGTACAAAGTTAGGTTACAAAATTGATTTACAAAATACATGTTGGCTAGTTTTTGAAATCAATGACCTAGATCTTGCCGCATCATTTTGTCAACACACTTTTGTAAACCATATTTGTATAAGTAGCATAATTGTGCAATATAAATAGCACAGTAATCAAATTCTAAACGTTAAAAACTTATGCCAGCCATTTATTAAGATAGATGAAGAATGAATACAGATAATTGATCACCTTTCATATATTGTTTTGCTGTTAAATCAACTAGTCTAAAGTTTCAAGTGCAAGATTTTTGTTCATCCCTTTTTTCAATAAATACACAATTTTGTACAGACAAAGCATCTTATTACAGCTACTTCCTGCTGTAATTTTCTATTTTTGGGATAATTTTTTGTATACTTAGTCCAAGAATCAGTAACCTTTTATCTTACATGATTTGAGAATCGATCATGTGAAGTTCTATACATTACTTTTTCCATCACTTCAGCATTTTGATGAATAATTTGCTATTTTTGGGATAATTTTTTGTATACTTAGTTATTCCAAGAATCAGTAACCTTTCTTATCTTACATGATTTGAGAATTGATCAATTCTAAGAAAGGAAAAATAGGTATGTATTATGGCTAAGCTTCTTACATGTTAAACCCACTAATTTGATGGCACAACTAAAGGTGATGAATAGAGTCCATAATCTGGAATCTATTGGATACCATCTACAGTTATCTCTTTTTTGTTTTCTTAATTTTTATTGTACTTTTCATTCTTCTGTTTAATTATATAGTGTTGGATGAGTTGCAGTGAAGGAGATATTTATTTGTTTGAAGGCAAAATAGTATTGTGTTTTCATGCTTAGCATTTACTATATAATTTATAATATTGATGTTAATTCCTTTTAGAAGGTAATTGGTACACACAATTAGATAGTATCGAGCTTTAGTGAGAAAGAAAATGTAGTTAAAATTCATGTAAATTCATCGTTCAATTTTATACTATGTAGCCCTATTCTTAACAGATTAACCCCAAAATAGCATATCCAAATTATAAAAAAGAAAGCCAATAGACGCTGCAATTGCGGAATTTATTCCGCTCCATTTTATATTGGTACGAATATGTAAATAAATCACTAATATGATCCAGGTAATAAATGCTCAAGTTTCCTTTGGGTCCCAACTAATATTATGTAACAAAGATGTCACTCTTTTTTAATAATCTCCACGGGACAAGAAATTACCTTCGATCACTCCATTTATAATGCCATTACATGCCTGTATTCAAAAAGGAAAATATATGAGTAGAAGTACCAAAAAATGGTCTTTTAATAACAATTATCATTGTATACTATTTTTCATCGTTGCATACATTCATTATCAGTGTCTGAATATATTAAAGTTAATGAAACTAAAATTGGAAAAAAAAAAAAAAAAAAGAGAGAGAACATAAATTGACTGCGAAAGTCGATGGGGACAAAATTAATTGCACTGCTGACTTTGGTTCGGACGCGATATCAATTGATATATTATGTTTTGTTAGTAGTCCCTTTCATTTTGCCTAGAAATTCAACTATGGGACCCAAAAAAAATAAACTTGTTACTTTCTACCAATGCTGCCTGACTCTTCTAATGTCTCAAGTTTCAGAAGTGAATGATAAAAACTGTCGAAATCCAACCCTTACAAGTGAGACATTTGATTGTACGTAATGTACATGGTGTTGATAACGAAGGTAGGCTCACGAGTCATTACAACTCAAAAACTTGCTAGAAACACATTTTTCAAATTGTTTCCTTGAATACAAGCATGGAACTAGTGTAATCGTAATCATAACTAGTAGTATAAACATTTTGATTTGATGTATATACATGAATTGACAAGCTAGAACTAATACATTTGGTATGTATAAAGGAATCTTATGAATACAGTAAATCCATATTCTATGATCCACAATTATTTAGTACGTGTTTACTGTTCCATTATATAACAAAGTACGCCTATGAGACTCGGCCTATCTTTGATATACTTTGCAACCTGGCCTAGGGATTCGAGTTCGTGCCAAACCTCAACTCGATGGTGGCATTGAAAGATAGGATTCCTCGGTCAAGTGCTCATCCATTCTCATACTTAGTTAAAACTTTGTCTATTTAGTGTATTTCTTTATTTCAAGAGTTTTTCTAGTTATTTTGTACCCCCACTAAACTTACTTCCTTGCTATCCACATAACCCACATACTAAATCTTGTTTCATAATAGTGAATCTAGAATCCACTATAGGAGTTAAAACAAAAAATTGTCTCTAGGTTCAAGAGCCTCACTCTCGGTGAAACGGAGTGCCGGATGAGCAAAATACGACAGAGTATTAGAATCTCACGAAGGAATTCCAAGTAAACATGAGTCGTGAGCTCTAATTGACTATGTTCAAAACAATATTTCATTGACATTTTTTGATTTTTCAATTAAATTATTTCTATTTTCTAAAACTCAAGATTCTAAAAGGTGTAAGCTATAGTAATGCGTGGAGGTAAAGCCTTAAGTCTAGGCATAATAGGTATTTTTCTATTTATAATATCATTTAAACCATTTTGGACCAATAAATAAAGAAAAATAAGGTATAATTGGAAAATAGTAATTTCATACATATTTTTGAAAATTTCAATAAAAATAATTCTTAAAATCACAAGTACTATAATTACTTTGTAATTAATTCTATCCACTAGGACCACTACAGTATATATGGGATATTAACACGAAAGAAAAAGAATACCACCAAACATCTGAAAACCAAAAGAAGAAAATAGAAAATAAAAAATAAATCTTCAAAATTAACAATTAATAAATATATATAAAAGAACAAGAAAACAAGAAATGCAGGTTATAGATCTTAGGACACAAAAAAGGATGAAAAAATATCCACTCCACCCCTCTCCCCAAATCTCCACCACTCTTTTAAGAAATAATACAATTGCAAAAATAAAATGAAAAAAAGGCTCATGGGTCTAGATTCTCATTTTACTTCAGCTTTGTTACATTTGCCATCATTTTCATATCTAGACTAGTAGTTGAGACTCGGCTCATCACTAGGTACGATGGATGTCACCTTTCTTACATTATTGGTTGTCATGTCAATATCTAGCAACACACTCACTATATTGATTCTGGTCGAGAATTCTAAAAGACCAATCTATGATATTCACAAAAAGTTCACTTTTCGCCGAGGCAAGCTTTAGACAACAAGATGGTACCGCATTTTCTAAACCTTTAGACAATCAAGAATACATTATTATTGCATACTATTTTTCATTATTGTATACATTCATTATCCACTAGCAGTGATTGCAGGTATTAAAGTTAATGAAACTAGAATTGGAAAAAGAAACATAAGACAACATAAATTGACTGATGGGGAAGCCAAATTAATTGCACTCCTGACTTTGGTTCGCACGCGATATCAATTGGTACACTACAAGTCACTTTCATTTTCACTAGAAATTCAATTATGGGACCCCAAACAAAACTTTTCTTGTTTTCTACCAATGCCACTCGACTCTTCAAGTATCTCATAGTACTGCCAAAGCCCAACCCTTATAAGTGAGATGCAATGTATTATGTATGTGGTGTCGATGATAATGGTGGGCTCACGACCACGACCACACAAAAACTTACTAGAAACACATTTTTCGAATTGTTTTCGTTGAATGCAAGCATGAAACATGTGTGTAATTGTAATCATGCTAGTAGAAACATTTCAATTTGAGGTATATACGTAAATATGAAAAGTTAGAACTGATACATTTGGTATGTATAAAGGAATCTTACTAATAAAGTAAACTCATGCACATAATATTCCATGATCCACAATTATTTACTAAGAATCAATTGTACAAATATGTGACAAGGTATGGCTACGAGACTCGACCTATCTTTGGCTCATGTTTACTTTGCAACCTGGCCTAGGATCTGAGTTCATGCCAAACCTCGATGGTGACATTGAAAGTTAGCACTCCTTGGTCAAGTACTCATCTAGTCTCGTACTTGGTGATAACTTCGTCCATTTCAAGTCTTTACAAGAAGAATAAACCTAGGTATCTACATGGTACTTCCTTTAATCGAATTGTTGAGAAGTTTGACGTATGTCAAGTGTGCTGATTAGGTGGAATAGATTTAATAAAGTGTTTTGAGTCGCTGTATTCACTAAGTAGTACTTTCATAATACAACAGAATATTGAAATCTCAACTCTTGAGCTCTAACTGATCAGTGTGCTCGTAACAATTTTTTTTTCTTGTTAAGTTATCTATATTTTCTAAAACTCAAATTCTAAACGGCTTCCGTCGTAATGCATGGAGGTCAAGCCTACACATTTTTCTATTTATAATATTATTGAAAT